CCGTAAACACTTGAAATAGATACATTTATTCATGACCAGAGGTGGAGAAGGTCTCAGTACCTACCAGATGTTTTGTATTTTTCTTCTCATCAGACCCTCAATTTGGACACACTTTACTCACATCTCCACCCACACCAACGAACAATCAGAGAACAGCTGGAGACAATCAAGTTCTCATGTGAACAGCATAATACTCTCATCTTCTCAACCTGACGGAGATCCACTTGTCATCTTAGTCTCAAGTAACAGACAACTCGCGTCTGAATCAGAAATGAAAAAAAAATCGTAGCCTTGGGTCCCTTTCTCCAGCGCATGTCAGTTCGACTTACGCATATTGAGATAGGGCATCTTGCGGCAATCTCAGTGATTTTAGTTACCTTTGTTCACATCCTATATGTAGTGCATGTTCTCGTACAACTCATACTGAAAAGCGTAAACTGGTAAACTCTAGACAAGTCGAGAGCCGGAGTTGCTAGACAGTCAGTTCCCATAGATGGACTTCTAACACAATATGAACATGTATGTGTGTCTGTACAGGTACGAAATATATATGATAGTCTTCCTGTTCAGAATACACTCATAACATTATATGGTCTGATGGGAAACTCCATAACAGTCCATTGGCAAGAGAAAGCACACTTCTTTTGCGTGACCAATGTCATCGTGTGAGCTCCATGCACGATCATGCAAGCCTGATCGTGCATGGAACCGACCAGACTGCTTTCGAAAGCAGTCTGGACTGTATTAAAAGCACCGATTCCTGTTTTTTCAGCCGCATCTCGTTCTATTTTTTGGTTGAATGCCGAAGTTTTGAGCATCGATTTTGGTGCAACGGTGGGCCTCGTGGAGAATCATGACATCGATTGGGTTACCGAAGAGGGCTTCTATCCACTCGTAGATCTGACGGTTCTCCTGATGCACTTTCTGCTACGGGCAAAACGGCCTCCAGAACAGCGACATAGTTTCTAGAATCACGAAAAAGCATGTTCTGCTATGCTTTGCCATCTACTTCGAAAACCATTTACATTATTAGGACCTTCACTATAACGAGATTCCTTTTACCTGTCGATTTCAGTATTACTGTGGGTAGTAATCACTGGTTTTTCGAGGGTTTTCTTCTTCGACGAAACCAGTTCAATGCTTTTACTTATGACTGTCTCTTATTCAACTAGAAAGGCGCAATCGATGTGTGTCCGAACAAAGGCACGGATGGTGTACTTTGAATATCATCGATATAGCTGCAGCTGAACTTAGGACCCACCATAACAGATTACGAGAAAAACATCCGGTAAGAGAATGTCACCATATTCATGCTTTATGACTCTTGAGTGTAATTGAGAAATCGAAGTAAGAGATAAATTTACTTAAAGTTGATTCAGTCTAAATTGAAGATGCTCTTAGCCTACGGTCATCGAGTCTCAGAAGATTGAAGATCACATAACGAGAACGCTAATCTTCTGTATAACAAGTACCGAGATGATCCACATGAACGCCAGTGGATGCCAGCAGAGCTTAATCGATCAATTCACCTCCAACTCAGGTGGTCTTCCGAAAGACGTGACTAAAAGCTCAAAGCTTCCGGATGGGAGCTCCGTAGATCAGCCACCTGAAGAAGTGAGGAAAGTCGCATACGTAGGACGAAGTCTTACAATGAATATTCGAGCGAATTCATAAATCTCACACGATATTACATCCTGATTTGTCCCCGATAAATTGGACAGTGCACAGAGTTCCGACTGGTTGAGATGGACATCAGGTGGAGCTAGAAGGTTCTAAATTTATCAATTCTCACCCCCTTCATGCTGATTGGTCCCGGTTCTTATAGTTTTTGGAGTGATACGGGCGTTGAATTTTTTTTTAAATACGGCGAATGATTTTTGGGTTTCTAGAATCAGTTTGATATGATTCTCTTGCTAACAGCTAGCCGGCTAATATTTTTTGTTAGCCGGCTAGCCGATAAATATGGTTTACGGCCGAAAACGAACCGTAAACCATGACCGAACTTACGTCTTCGGCCGATTATTTCCTCAGATTCGGCCGAAATTATCCAATAAACATTTATTTTCCCGAATATTCGGTTCATTGCATTTTCAGCCGATAGCCGATTAGCCGACGGCTAGCCGAAAGTTAGCCGGCTACGTGCCCTTCCCTAGATTTGCTCTACCTCAACTCTGGTGTTCAAGCTTTGACCAGTTGCTTCATTACAAGTTCCAACGAACATCTCCAAAGGTCGGTCTTGGACCCTAGATATCATACTTGTTTTCATCAAGCTATTTGGGTTTAGATATCTCGTATTGGACAAATTTGTCATCATGATTCAAGCTATCACTCTCCCCAAGTTGATAGCCTCTTCCCATCAATTTGAATATCCTCTTGGCCCACTTTTTCATCCAGACCTCTCATGGTGTCTTGTGATGAAAACCTGTGTAATATCTAGCCTATAAGTGTTTGGTGACAATCTTATCCCATACTTCTCTGATGATTTCTATAACTCCTCTTCGTGCCATGGCGTGAAAAGCTTAGAATCCATAATATAATAATAAATCCAAAAGACGGAGTTTTAGTGAGCCTTAATGCGGAGTTGATTAAACTTTTTTACAACTAAACTTTTTTTCCACAGGTATCAGCTTTTTACTTGTACTAATGAGATTTTGCCACGTCTTTTATGACCAGTTTTATTCAGAAATTCGAAACAGAAGAAAAGTTTATATTTTAATATCTTTTGAATTAGTTGGCGAGATGGTATATCGAAAAATATTTTGCAAAAAAGCCGCTGAAATGATACAGTTTTACCAATCTTCTCCGCACCCTAAACCCAAAAGTTTGATTTTTTAAAATAAATACCATTTTTGTACACAACATACATAATATGCGTAAAATGAAAATTTGACCAAGAATTAAATATGCCTTTGATATTATAAATGAGTGGCTTTTAATGAATCTGTGATTAAAAAAAGAGTTTTTATTAGAGAGAAAATCAAATTAAAAATATCATTCTATTTAAATTATATCAAATCAATGAGAAAATTAACACAAATTGCAAAATTTTCATTAAAACAGTAAAAAATATTAATACATAGATTATAGTATTATGATCATGATGATGATTTCAAAAATTTTGATATTGATTTTTGATCATTTTAAAAGAAAATATATGAAATTAAGCTAAAGAATGCAAATATTGGAGTTACCTTTAGCTGTTAATTTCAACTCTCCACGAGACAAAATGATGCCAACCATGTAATTTGTGTGGTTCTTAAAAGAGCGATTGCTCAAACTATGTACTTCGTGTCAAGCGCCGTTCATCTCCTTACTCATGTTGTAAAGAAGAGAGCTTGAGTAATTCTTCTAGCTGGTTATTGATGTATGATATTGTAGATAGTTAAAACCCCTGCGAATTTTTTAAAATTATAACTATATATATATTTATTTATTTATTCTATTTTGAAGCATAAAAAATTATTTAGAGGATGTTCTTCAATAATTTAAAAAGATCAAATAAACCATTTGACGTGGATTTAGCTGAATAAAGTATGTGGATAGCAAATTATGATTTCAATGTCAAGCATTAGAGTTTATCTGTTGTACGTGCACCCTAATATTTGAATTTTATGAACTCAATTCAAAAGTTTGGAAATGATTAGGTATGCACTATATAAATAATTTGTTATTATCTAAATTTCGTGTTGGCTATTAGGGGTTAACTCAGGTACTAATCATATTTTAGTGATAGAACTTTAGTTTGTCAGACTAATAAGACTTGGCTGTGTAAGAAAGTATACCCGAACTCTTATTGTAATAGATATAAAGGGTTGAGTAAGTGTTCTTTTTGTTTAGGGGAAGATAGCCTCAGAGAGGTGACACAATGTTTTTTTTTTTTGGGTCAAATTTGTTCGTTGGTTGGGTGTAGATTATTTTTTTACAGTGACATATATTTCAAAAATAAAGCTTCATCATTATTCTAAGCAAGAAAATATTATAGAGGTGTTGGATACTGTCTGCCTAGTGCATGCTTAAATGATAATGACATAGTGTGTGCTTAAGTTTTGTGTGTTTATAATTTGTGGTAGAGGTGTTGCAAACATATATCATATGTAGATTTAACAGTGATTGCTCACTCCAATATCTTATGTGATATTAGAAACGATAAAAACTTAAATTTGAATTTTAGATGATAAAATTATTGTCTGGAACCAAATACATGTCATTGAATTTTAAATATGAAATAATCTAAACTTCATCATAAACGTTGCTATTTGATCATTATGTGCTTAGACATATGCGTATGTTTTTATATCGAATATGAGTGAATTTTTTTATTGTGATAACATCTCTGAAAAATTAAATCTAAATTATTAATTCAATTGGGCTAAATTTTTTTTATCATATTAAATATAAGTTTCGTAAAATTTATAAAGTTTTTTATACTATTTATTATATGCGTTTATAATACCGCGCTTAAAAAAATTTTCAAATGTTTCTTGGGATTAATGTTTCTTTTTCCTATTTCATGCTCAGTGTATTTACTTGAATTATCAATTTTCATCCAAAATTCGTACTCTTGGAATACTGTAGTTGTTTATAAGTTAAAAAAACCAGGCTTGCACTGCACTAATTGAAACATGGACATGGTGAAAGCACCACTGGGTCTGGCTTGGCTTTGATGGGAAAAGTAATGAATCCAGCATGTGGTTCATTTCTGATTCTACAGTAGTTACATCCTTTATTTTCACTCATTCTCATACTTTTGTACTTTTTGAAGGCCTTTCCCTTCCTTTTTGTTATTTCCCTGTGTCCACTTTTCGGCAACTAAACCCCTAAAAGCTCCGACATGGAGCAAGTGAACCGGGTATGAGGAAATGAGGTGCGCAGTAAGGTGGTTTAGGGTTATAGGCAACGCGGTAGAGGAGTAGGGTTTCACAAGCTCTCTCCGTCCTCCAAACCGGGCAGGGCAGGAGACGACCGGAATTCGGATCGCGGGTCCCGCTCCGCTCTCGCTCGAATTTCGAACTTTCTGCATGAGCATGAGAGTCCGAGAGATTGCGCGAGCGCAACATTTGCAGAGTGCAGACAGAAATTGCATCGAGGTTGGAACAATTTCGCCGAAAATTCCAAGCGCTCGGAATTTGGAAACAGAGTGGTTTGGAGCAGCGGCTGAGTAATGAAGAAAGATAAAAAGAATCGAGATGGAGAAGGTTTGAAGAGCTCGATTCCGCCGCATACTAACGGTGCCGAGGGGAAGAAAAACCTCAAACGGAAAGCTCCTCAAGCCGAGCAGAAGCAGGAGGAGGCCGAGGCTGACAAGTCGGAGCTGCCAGTGAACGAACCTGATAAGAAGACTTTTTCTGAAGGAAGATTTCACGACCTCGGTTTAGCTGAAAATGTTGCCGCCCACATTCATGGTGAATTTAACATTTTGTGAATTCGTCTGAATCGATTGGTTTTCTGCGGTGAATTGCATAATGTGATGTTTCTAAAGTGCTCTTTGTCTCTTGTCGCACGCGCTCACATACTGGTTTTCCAGATGGGATGGGGTTTCAAGCACCGACGCATATTCAGCGGGAAGCCATTCCTGTCGTCGTTTCTGGCAGAGATGTGTATCCTCTTTTTTGTGTATTTCATTTCATCATGTTAGAATTTTGTGATCTAAGGATGTCAGGTATAATTTCAGATGCTTTCAATTTTTTTTTGAATTTTTGTGAGCCTTAACAACAAAGTAAATAACAGGCTGGTTAATGCGGGAACGGGAACCGGGAAAACTTTGGTGTACCTTGCACCCATCGTGAATGCTCTCCAGGGAGCTCGTAAACGCGTGAATCGTACTGATGGCACTTATGGTAAGTACCAAGAGTATTCTGGATCGTTTTCTGGATTTTCCAGTGGTTTCGACTTCTCGAAATTCTTAAGAGAATCTTCTAGGACACGAAATTGGTGTTTGCTACGAATGCCGCAACTGACAGGAAGATGGGCAGCAATTGTGTTGGTGCCAACCCGTGAACTGTGCGTGCAGGTTTTCTTAGTTGCTGAGAAACTCGTGCATCGTTTTATCTGGTTGGTTCCTGGATTTCTGATGGGAGGAGAGAATCGAAATAAAGAGAAGGCGAGGCTTCGGAAAGGTTGGTGGGACGCTCCATCTCAGACTACTGCATGTTTCTTTGAAAAAATGTTTTAGTCTCGTTCAAATTTTCCCCGATCTTGCTTGAGCGTGCTCGAGTGTCGTCTCTCATTCAGCCATGAATTGAATTCCCACTGAGTGATGCAATTTTTTCGTAATTTCTTTATATCTTAACCTCTTTTCTCATGGTTACCACCTCTTTTCTGTCACACAACTCACCTAGGCCTCTGCAACACCATTTCTTTGTTCTTAGTTTGTGAGGATTTTCTGTGCAGGAATCACCTTACTAATTGCAACACCCGGTAGACTTCTGGATCACCTAAGCAACACAAACTCTTTCAAAATTGACCCGCTGAAGTGGCTGGTCTTTGACGAAGCAGACAGGTAAGAAAAAATCTGGGTCATCTTAGCTTGTAAGTTGTCCTTCTGTCTCAGGTTGTTCGTAGCTCGTGTCGACTTGGACAGTCGGCTACGGAAGCCTCTGGGTGACTGGGTGACATTCGCTTGAGGCTTGCCTGGAAAGATGTAGAACCTGAGGACACTAAGTTTAAGGGCAGTTACATTTGTCATGTCTCCGCTTGAAATTTACCTTTTGGTTTGCTTCCTTTGTTATGCCTTCTCTCATCTAGCATGCGTGGGATTTGTAACAACTTGCTCTATTACTTGCCTCAGACTATTGGACTTGGGATTCGACAAAGACATACAAAGCATTCTGTCTCTTTTGAACCAAAAGCAGGCTGCTTCCAAACAATTCAAAGAGTCTGAGAGACAACACATTCTTTTATCTGCAACGTTGGATGAGCGAGTAAACAAGCTCGCCGCTCTCAGCCTCAGGAATCCAGCAACTGTGGGGCTTCCGTCTAAGGAAGAAGCCCCAGTTGAACAATCCAAACATACATCAGTCGAAGAAGTGAAAGGAAAACCCCAGGAGCCGAGTGAAGACGAAGAGGAGGAAGTAGATGATGGCGATGAAGATGAAGATGAAGATAACTTAGAAGCGGACGAGAAACCTTCTAACGGGCATACCGATTACAACATACCCTCTCAGTTGATCCAAAGTTATTATAAAGGTATTCTTCTCACCCGTCCCATACCAGAACTTTTTTTCAGCTGACAGTTGATATTGTGCCGAAATTGCTAACCCGTTTTCCCAAATTCTTCATGTCGGCATTATAGATATGTATTCCAATTTTCTCTTCTCGATATCTTGTCGTATTATATTAGTATGTAGGACTAGAATGCAGTTATTGTTGTGCATGTCAGCAGTATCTCAAATTATCTGGTTTATGGTTTCAAAGGCGAAAAGCCCACGCAGTACGGTTCTCTCTGTTGGAGTATGTACCATATATTATTGAGGAGAAAGAGGGCCGTCATTTCTGTCAGCTTATTTGTTGAGAAGATGAATGATTTGGCAGGACTTTTGGCTCAAGATAGTAACCTCAGGTTCATGTCTTGTGATTTGTAGTCCCGTGCAAACTGAGGTTAGCTGCATTACTAGCTCTGATGCGGCAAAGATCCTCCAGTACGAAGACAGGCAAGGTATGTGTGCAAATTTTGTGTTTGTCTAAGTTCCCATCATCAAGTGTTTCAAATTGTTTTGATCAACTACGACTGTGACCCAGTCAACTTCCCCTGTCACTGTTTTATCAAGAATTCATTCGAAGTGTTCGTAGCACGTGGTTTCTATTCATTTTGTGTTTTCCCGAACGGCTGGAGTTCTTCGTCAGTCCCTAGGGAGATGGAACGTGTCCAACTACTTCGCCATATCAGTGCGTTCTGGCTATCTGACAGACCAGTTGGCTTTACAGCTCGTTATATTTTTCTCAACGTGTGATGCTGTCGACTTCCACTTCGCTCTCATGAACGACTTTCAATTATCAAGTGCTCCTGGAAGTAAGAAGGAACCTTTTCTGGAATCAAAGGTCTTTCGGCTGCATGGTAATATGCCCCAGAAGGAGCGAACAGACACTTTTCTCCAGTTCGGTAAAGCTTCAGCAGCGTTTTTGATCTGCACAGATGTTGCTTCGCGAGGGCTAGACTTCAAGGGTGTTACGTGCATTGTTCAGTATGATCCTCCAGGAGATCCTGCAGAATATGTGCACAGGTGGGTTGGGGCACTTTCTTTCTTCTGGCGGTGGTTTGAGTTCACTCGAAAGAGCTTTTGATTATAGGAGTTTTTCGTCCTTCATGAGGGCCGGAATCATTTACTTTTGACGTGCGATCAGTTTTTAGTAAGTAATACGTTGGTTCTCTTCAATATCGTCTCATACTTTGCTTACCTCAATCTTCGTTGTCTCCTTGATGGGGCACAGGGTTGGAAGGACAGCTCGTATTGGCGAGCAGGGTGAAGCTATTATTTTCTTACAGCCTTGTGAAATGGACTACCTGGCCGAACTGAAGAAGCATGGTGTAACGTTGAAGGAGCTTCCACTTCCACAGTTGATGGATGCCTTGCCTTCTGACGGGAAAAAGAATAAATACCGGAAGGCTGAACAGTGGACTTCGATTGAAATGCATCCGGCGGTATCTTATATGAACTTAACCCTCGAGAACTTTGTTGCTAAGGTAAATCCCTTCGCCAGCCCCTTATTACTAAGACTTGCAATTGTCCTTTTTTTCTTTCCGCACCTTCCAGAGGACGGAGGCCTAAGTCGCCAAGTTGTGGATAAATCTTTCGCAACGCTCGTTGCTGATCCCGTTTGACTCAAGGTTCTCTCTATCTCTAGTGACGGACATCTTTGTTTCTCTCCAGCTCAGTTTAATCTGGAAATTTTTTTGTGCTAGAACTAAATTACAGCTGTGACCAAGAATTGAAAAATTCAGATATATCTGAGGACAAGAATATCTGATATTGCAGTACTTCATCGCATTTTGCCTCGAGCCACTGTGAATATCGATGAAGTCCTCTGGGCTTCCGTTCTGTCAGTCTCTTTGGCTCGGTCGCCGACCTGGATTGGATGTGCTCTTACCGACGAGTGTATGTTACTTGTATTTTTGGGGACACGATATGACGGACATCAAGGTGCCACGTGAAGGCAATTAGTAAGGCTAATGAACAGGAGGCACGTTTCTCGATTCTACTCGATTCTCGTTGACTGATCTTGTCCGTGCTGATCACAGGGAAAGACCGGCGAGGTGAATGACTTGGCAGTCAAAGCGTTCAACTCGTACGTCCGTGCATACGCAGCCCACAAGGCCGAGCTGAAGCCAATCTTCCAGGTGCACAAGCTGCATTTGGGGCACGTCGCCAAGAGTTTCGGACTGAAGTCGGCACCGCAGCTCATAGGGAAGATGGGCATGAAAGCATCGAAAAAAGCGAAAGGAGGAAGGGTAGACAAATCAAGGGAAAGAAATGCGCAGGGTACCACGAAGAGGCGACGTCTCCATGCTGCAGTCATGGAGGAATAAAATTTCAGAGCTGGATCTGCCTCTTCTTCTTCACCTTCCTCCAATCCGAAGACAGGTCTGCCTCCTGCGTCTTCTTAATTTTGTAGTCTAGAGCTGTAACAACACCCAACCATGTACTTAGCTGACAGATAATGAGCTGCGTAGAGTCTGATTAGGGAGCTCGTCGTCTGTACATGATGACATCGAGCAATGATCCGTAGCAAGAGGATGATGACTCAGGCTGTCCTCCGTGTAATTTCACCCACGTGCCCAATAAAGTTTCGCCACATGTACGGCTGTACACGTCAGTTGTTGTCTGAGGAATTGCGCAAAGTCGAGCCCCAGAAATGTAACCTTCAGACTCTTGCGTGGGACCCCTTCCTGAGGGTTCGTCCTTACCACGGACCGAGGGCGAGAAGGTCTGTACACGGAAGGGATGTGGGGCTAGAGCAGCCCGATACGCCCTCTCATACCGCTTTAATTTCCATACAAAGAATCTGCAGCTCACGTTATATTCTATTATGTCAATGCATAGGTTATTAAGGTTATAAAGAGGAACCCAATCGTCATCCAGTTGATATGGCCGAGTTGGTCTAAGGCGCCAGATTAAGGTTCTGGTCCGAAAGGGCGTGGGTTCGAATCCCACTGTCAACACCCTTAACCCCTGTCAGGATGGCCGAGTGGTCTAAGGCGCCCGACTCAAGTTCGGGTCTCGTGAGAGGCGTGGGTTCAAATCCCACTTCTGACAATCAGAGTGTTTTAAAATCTGTCTCCACTAAAGTATCCCGACATCAGATTGCCTGCAGCGGGCTTTTGCTATTTCGGACCAGATAAAGAGTTGACAGATGCTTTATACTGTCCATCGCTTTTTTTGTGATTATAAACTCAGATTTCCTTGTTTATCTGAGGTGAAAGGGGCCAAGTAGAGACCAACAATTTTAATCCCCTTCATGTCAATCTGAGAAGGTGCTAACTGGACATTGACGAAACCCTTCTCCCGTATCGAGAAGAAATCTTGAGAACGGATTGCGGTAGGCTTGGCCACGGTCCGGTTAACGGTTAACCGGTCCGGCAAATTTGTGGACCGGCTAACCGGTCCAATTAACCGGTTAACCGGTATATTAACCGGTCCAGGATTGGTCCGTATCGGTTACGGTTAACCGATATTTTTAACCGGTCCCGACGGTTAACCGATTAACCATCGGTCCGTACCCCTACGTGACCGATGGGGAGGGGCTTAATACCTAAAAATTCTCGATGGCGGAGGGAAAGAGGTGGCCCGCGACTCAAATGAGCCCACCGTTCAGACAACTCGATCGGTCATTTCAATTTCTGGCTAATTTTCTCACACTGAATCACGAAATGGGTACCTCGCTGGAAATTTTTTTCCCGGACCGGAGAAATCTGGGACCGGTTAACCGGTCCCGACGGTTAACCGGCGGTCCGGACCGGACCGTGGCCAAGCCTAGATTGCGGTGGGCGTTTGTTTGCTGTATTGGAGGAAATATGTGTTTTGATAGCTACTTTATAGAAGGAACCATACATTTTAGTTTAAATAGTAAATTCTATATCTTATTCCCAGTTTTTCTATTGTTAAGGAGGACCAACGAAAATCTACCACTTGCACAAAAAAAATTCATCAACATCATTTCTGGTTTGAATGATTTATATACAGGTCTGGATGAAAGAAGGCATGTAAGTCAATATGGCCGAGTTGGTCTAAGGCGCCAGTTTCAGGTACTGGTCCGAAAGGGCGTGGGTTCGAATCCCACTGTTGACATCCCGGTAGAGGGTCGCGTAGCGCAGTGGATTAGCGCGTCAGACTTCGGATCTGAAGGTCGGGGGTTCGAATCCCCTCGTGATCGTCACACCTGTGCATTTTTAATATATACGGTGTCAATTTTGCGTCGATCGAAGGAAAAACTTTGCATGCCAGCAAGTTTTGACCGCAAGCACGTCGAAGCAATGAAAGACATCATCTCTTTCCGTGATAACGCGTTCGGGAATCTAATCATGAAGATATGGGACTCAAAGACTTGCATACAGTTTGGAACAATCAAAACATTTGTTCCTAAAATTCATGAACAAAATTTAAGCAGAAAGAAGTCCCCTTCAGTGAGCAGTTTGTGTTTCGTGTCTTTCTTAGCTACTGTGTATTAATAGGTTGCAACAAAAGATATTGTTTGATCCTCTGTTTATCTTGTTATGTTCAAGCTGAAAGTTGACCTTGCGTCTTTGACAAATTCGCCCGTCATCAACTGTATTTGACATTCCATCATTGATTATCATAAATACTTATTTTTGTTTAGACGGTTTGAAAGGATGCGTTCCAATGAGGTTCCTATCAAACGAAATGTCTCAAAAATATCGAGAACCAAACACACCAGCTTCTATATCTACTGGCCTAGACCATATTACATGTCTACAATAGCTACCACTATACTCTTCCTCCTCTTTGAGTGAGCAACGTAAGTTACTTCACACTGTGCTCGTTGTGCCATAATCGTGGCTTTCACTGCATCTGCCCTCTCTTCTACTTGCTGCACCTTATTCAAGCTCAGCCTTGAAGACAGAAGAGTAGGATTTCTGAAAGCCACGGGCGCCCAACACACCCTTGAGACACAACTTTACCCACTCCCGTCTACTCTTCTTTGTTTGGAATTTGCCCAAACCATGGTACAGCTCGAGCTTTCCACATGCAATCGTGGAAAAGCAATTCCTCTTGGACGTTGCTCCCAAATGTAATACGAGTAATTATTTGGTTTTCTGAACTCACGAAAACCGTGATGGGAAGCGAAAACACATGTGGGAAGAGAACAAGGACGCTGTGTCGGGGCTCTGTCTGCCTCTAGTGAAGATGTGATATATGACCGTTCCTGAGAGAAGCCTTTCGAGCTGTGGAAAGCAGAGAATGAGATGTTCGAAGTGAGATCAGTCATTGCTGGCGGAATTAATAGCCCAATAATACCTGCCATCAATGAACTTTAAAGTAAGACAAGGACCGGCATAAAAGTATTTCAACCAGAGGTAATAGATTCTGCGAGATGCCCTAAAGTAAATCGTGAACAAACGTCGTCTGCTGGAATGGACAGGGTTGCTGAAACCGCATTTGAAAGCCATAATCCAGCAGACCAAGGGTACTCTGAAAGTAGAGGACTTCCATTGTATAAGAGAAGTCTAAACAAAAGGTCAAGCCCAGGCCCGGGCTTTATAATAAGTGAGTCATACACCTCTAAGATACGTAGACACGATTTGCAGGACTCGAGCTCTGACGGAGCGTCATAAGAATGTGAATTAAGATCGACGAACATCTTGTGAAATATAAATTATTTGTCAAGGTTTGTAGTCTGTCAAAGACAGGGGGCTGCATTCATTTCTCATAACGAGAGATATAATCGTCAGTGATACACCAAGAAAACCAAGTTCAAACATCTAAGTTAAACAACTACGAATCCTCCATCTTTTTACTTACGAGGCTATATACAGCTCTTGTCTCGTAAATTCCAAAATTTCTAGATGCCTGGGCACCTGACAGCTCCTCGGTTATCGAGGCTTCATTGCAAGAAGTGAAGACTGTTCACGGATGATCCTGAAGCCTAAGAGGCCTTTCTTGTTTATCGAACTGTCGCACACTTACAACTTTCCTAGCGTATTCGGATCGTAGCCCGTCATTTCTACCGCAAGAGTTCTGTTCGAGCTAAAAGCTAACCAACCCACAGTTTTCTCCTGGATATGATGGGACATAATTTATCTTCTGTACTTGCTCTCATAGCCAGCTCCTGACCATCTGTGAGGCCTTGGCTGCCACGTACCCACCAGCTCGTTCGGCATCTAAGAAGCTGCTGGAGTTGACCTTTACTGCTCTAGAGAATAATGCGTCGCGCTCAAATTTCAGCTGGCCCCGTAAGCGTGGGTTGCTGGTCATGAGAAACACTTGCGCTTCTAAATCACGATCCCTCGATCGATAACCAAAGTTAGAACTACCAACGAGAGTGACACTCGGACCATGAATGTCACCTGGAAGTGTGCACCATAACCCCTTGGCATGAAAGGTCCATCCTGATCTTTCGTACTCATATATCGACAGCCCGTTTTTCAGATCGTAGGAATCTTTTCCCTGTAATGCGACGTCCCTATGTCGTGACCTTTCATACAAATTTTGTTCAAGTAAAGAATAAGCTCGGGGAATAAGCCCGGAGATTCCTGCAGAACCATAGAACCCATTTGCCTGAAAATTCGTGAACAAACAAGGATAGATGTCAGTAAATAGCATGGACATCTGACACACGTCTAGCTTTCAACACTATTAATTAGATTATACTGAAGAGAACCTGCCTGTTTGACGCAATTTTCGTTTCTGAGACCCTGCAAATTTTGCCCACATTCCGGGATGCTATGAGAGGGTTCGAGAGCAACAACAGACAGGAACAGCACTCTTTTCCATTACCTTCGGTGATGCAGTGAGTATCTCCACGATGTTTTGTTCTGCTACTTCAAGCAAGACGTCCTCATAGTCGGGTGTCAAATTGAAATACGGTGAAGCTAATTGTAAAAGGGTGCCAGAAGGTAACCCTTTCAGCAATGCCACGGTACAGTCCTCATCCTGTCGAATGCCAAGAGGACCCATCTGTATGGTTGGAAAACAGAAAGTATCCCAGTCTTCTTCATTCTCCTTCTCCTTCTCTGCAGTATTCACTTCAGCAGGAGGTGCATCCATTAAACCCTGGACGGAAGAGCCCATTTGCGCACAGAATCCATCCCTGTCTTTGGTGTCAAACACTTTCTTAGGCAAAAGTTTCTCGTCACTACCAAGACTGAAGGAGTACGATGAAACCACATCAATTAGGGAGCTGAAGTGGTTGGCCAGAGAAGGAGAATTTCGAAACCAAATGTAACGATCTTGACGATCAGTGAAGTACGAAGAACTCATGTTGGCACCCGTCATGAGGACGTCATCATCGAAGACAAAGGCTTTCAAGTGGCACACTCCTACTACTTCGTTCACACGCGCTGGTAGCAACCACTGAAGAGTTTTGGTCAGGTCCGGTGTGCGGTACAAGGAAACTTTCAATCTCTCTCCATCTTCAAAAGACTTTCTTTGCCGCCATTTGGCTGATTTTGACAAGAGAAGGCTGGACAGCATAGCGGCACTCGAAGTGAAACAATCGGCAGAACCATGGGTAGGGCGCGTAGCACGCAACGCGTCGAAGAGCATGGTCACACGGAGAGCAGGGTTCTCGACAAGCGCATCTGCAACAACATCCAGCTGCGGTTACCGACCTTAAGGACGTTGTCGAGTAAGGAAAAAAGTACTGACTCTAAGTGACAACCGAGACATAGATATGAGGATGATGTGCTCTTGGGGTCGGAGAAGTTTAAAAAAAAATTATTTGGGAGGAAGAAAAAGATAGGTGACAACTAAACACGTACGAGAAGCCTACGAGAAAATACTCTCAAGAACCCTGCCCTATCTTAGAGAATGTCGTACACAATTTTACAAGAAAAGATCAATTCAAGTGATCCTGAACCAAATTTGACATTTACAGAGGGTGGACTTTGACCAGGAACCGACAAACGTAATCTTGAAAACATCACCACTGAGGAACTCTCCAATTCCTCATTTGCCCCAGCGACATGACCTACAGAAAACTGATCACGGATAGAGAAAGTTCAAGACCAGGAAATTTGCAGCTAGATGTATCGTATCATCAACCGTTGTAACCAAAAGTGGTCTCCTTTACGACAACAAACATTCCCGGACGACTTTCTCACATTACAGCTCATCCCCCAAGCTTGTTATCACGGAGATTCATAGAAGGTAGTCCGCCGAGAGATGTAAGTCTAGGTCAAGATGACAGGACTCGGTCTACCTTATAAGCTAAAACAGTAAGAATATCCTCAGGCTTGTTCAATGCACTCAATTTTGCAGTGAACCACAAAGCAGCATGGACCAACCCCAAGAACACGTATTCCAATTACAACTAGAATGCAACATCCATCACGGCGGCAGAATCGATCAAGGCGTTTGAAAAACAGAATATTCCTTCCACCCAGAGAAACGAGATAAGGGCAGATCGACCAACCAGCTCCGCCTCGAGTTTTCCAGTGCCGATGTACAAAGAAGCCATCACCACTCGTCGTCGAGAATTCCTTATTCCTTCTTTAATCGCCTCGTAAAAATCACCGGGAGTATGGAGCAAAGAAACATGGTCTCCTTTCACGGGAATCATCTTCGCTGATCCTGAGAGAGCATCCAGGAGTCTCTGATGCTCATCGCCACAACCATCAAGGCCAGCAGCAGAGCTGGAAGCCGCCCGCCTCTGCTGCAGCCCCCAGGGAGGCGTCCACAACCGCGGCAGCAACGCACTCAAACTCCGAGAACATTGCTCTGTGACGATCTTTCTCGCCAAAGGCCCCATCGCCTCCTCGTCAAAATCGATCTTTCCAGTCTCAATCTCCTCAATCCTCAACGACAGCGGATCAATTCTCAACAAGTCCTGGATTCGTCAGATCTCACTCAAACCACCCCAAGAAGAGCGAAGAGCACTGCCCACACATTCCACAACTTCCATTCCGCTTCGATGCCGCTCGGAATCATTCGAAAGGCCCCCGAATGTTCGATCACACGACGCGAGGAAAGATTGCACGCCAAGCGACGGATGCTCGAGCAATATTCCTCCTCGAGCTCGCCGCATGAAAACTTCTCGTCCTCGGTTCTGGCGAGCAGCGAAAGATGGCCCACGCCATAAAACCCGAGGAATGAATCCCCGCTCCACTTTATACTCGAGGAAATTACTTGATGGGACCCTTTGGAAACTCAACGCTCTTGAAGGGACCCTTCAGGTTTCATTTTACCCGATGGACCCCATTCGACGGTCACCGTCAGCCATGTTCTTATAACCTACTTATTTGCTCTATAGAGTGGGGAGTGTTCGCCACTGTCGGGACAGAGTATTTTGGCGACTAGTTCGCAGCCATGTCTAAGAAAACGAAAGGCACCATGAGTCTGAATTACGCCCGATATGGTCTTGACCTGACTACTCGAAATAACCCCAAACAGTATTGGAACATCACTGACGGTGTGGCTGCAGCCGTCGATGGGTCCAATCGGGTCAAATGAAACCCGTTGGGTCCCATCAAGTGTTTTCAGTTTACCCGGGGTCCGATCAAGTAATTTCCTCCTTTATACTCTAAACCATCGGATTCCTTACCCGGGACCGGCGACATTTAGCTCAAGTTCTGCAAATCTGCAATTATCCGACGCACTAGGTTAATGCCATAATCCTTATGCCTCTAAGGTCATATATATATATATATATATATATTCATGACAGGGACGGTTAATATTATCTTTTCGTTTGATGATGAAATTTAAAATACGGCTGATTAGTTTTCCGCATCGGCGCTTATTAGCTACAACTCGAGATTAGAAGGTTGTCATGATCATGGAATGCTGTTAAGACCCAAGCTTTGTTACATGTTGCTAGAGATATGTGAGAGTAGCGGTGGCGAGGTAAAGATTTAGCAGAGGAACGATTTAATAATGATGATCATTCTCATTCTCCTTGAATTTAAAAAATGGTAGTTTTCCGTCACTGAATTGGCTTCTGTTGCATGGATAGCGTCTTTTCGGTTTTTTCATCAATCTAGTTCGCATAGGGCGGACACATTATCGGTATTTTTATTTTTTGGAGGTTTGCATGTATTTCCCGTTTCTGTTTACTGATCGGGACTGGCATCGGTTCGCGTTTTCGTGTCTCTGGCTACATCTGCGTTGCAAGGGCAAGCATGAAGGATGATTGATAAAGGTTTTTTCTTGACTAATTTTGATAATGGCACAATGTGCTTCCTTAAAGTTCCTGTTTGTCGGCGTTGAGGAAGTTAATTAAGTTAATTTCAGCGGGACGAGACAACGGGGAAGGTGAAAATAGAACAGGTTGACAGACTGGGATCATTATTCATATACTAGCGTTAATTGTCTGGAAAGCATAGAGAATCTATTTACATTCTCTTTCACCATTCGTATCGGAACTGAAGACTATGAAAAACAATTTAGAGAGATATTAGTCATTTAAGGTTTCAACTTATTGTTCAGAAATTGGACATTTGGATTGGGTGCTTTTCTTCTTGTTTTCTCTCTTAAATGTCTTGGCTAGCTAGTACCTTGTTGACTTTGGTTGTGACTTGTTCAGGTGGGAGAAATTAGCATGTCATGGAGGTTATATTCTAAGGATTTTTGTGAGTAGATTTCAAATCCATATTTTGGTATACCATTTGTTACTTTATGTACTCCATGATGTATTTAGACATGCTTTTTGCTTTATTGATTGATTGACATGTGATGTCATAGACGTCTATGGGTTTTGCTCCTGTTATTTTCACAAAGTTTGTGCTAGATACAGAATTTGATACTTAGAATTTAAGCATTTTAAATATGGCATTTGGCTATTTGCAACATATTTTTATTAATTTCAAGACACATGATACTTTTGATTTCACTTAATTGCAACTCGTTGACTCTTAAAGTAGGCTTCCGTAACACCTTCATATTTTCTTTATGGCTTAGTTTTATCACGATAATAGAGTTTATTTTTCACGGCTTTTTATATCCATCAATGAAGATGGAGATATCTTTAAGATCTTATAGTATCAATCAAAAGATCTAAGTTGCCTTGACAGAGAGCTACTTGCTTATTCATTTGTACCCAATCCAAGATTCATCCCTAAAATCACCGTCCGATATGGATATCATCTCAAAAATGTCGTTTACTTCAATAATCCATCATAGATTTGACTAAGTTGTCTTAGTTATCTAAATTGCTTACTGAGGGTTAGTAGTTCACATTCCCATGTTTGTTAGTTTTTTTCATAGGAGGAATGGCGACGTCCAATTGATTGATATTTGATACCTTATTGCACTCACATTTTCAGAAACAATTTTGTTCCATCAAGTTGAAGTAGTTTTATCAAGAGATTGTGTAGAAATATCAATGAGCATCATAGCACTTCTAGATTTTTATCCTGATTAGATGTATTATGGATGACCATGGAATATTATTGAAGTGAATTAATTTTTTGAATATTGGAAAGTATGATGATGTATCTTCAACGAATTTCATTTTTTTGCAAGGTTTTTTAAATCTTTACATTCTTTCCTCTCCTCCATCATAATATAATCACCAATCTAAAATTCACCACTAGTATTTAACAAACAAGTTTATAGCATATTTGCATTTACTCATGATAGAATTATGGCATAGTCTCCAGATGTGTGTTGTTTTCATTAGGATGACACACATATTTTGAGCTTAGTATATCATAGTGGGCAGATCTTTAATTATTTTTCTAGCCAATGTACGTTTTGATCTCTTTTGAACATTGCTCTTCATCTTGAGCTTCCAAAAGAATTTATGACGTCAACAGGCAGCTTGCACATGTTGCACATTGGGGTTTGCTTGCTGGATATGTGAAGATAATTATTTCAGAACAAGTTCTAAATGTTATTATATCGTTTGGTAGAAACTCTGCTTCAACTTTCTTGAAGATATCACAGTAAACAAATTCAAGTCCTCTTCTCGAAAAATGTAACCTTCGTCATGGAAACTTTGGGTGTCAATAAGAAGAGACCGCGATCTCGTGTCCATGTCTTCGTCTTCGTCCTTTGCATGTGAAATGGGAGCGAAAGCTTGCTCTACGTTACTGCAGATTTGGCCTGAAGTTCATTCAGTTGACGAGCCTTGTCTGAACGTGGGTAACCAGAAATAGGAACGCAGTAACCAGAAATAAACGTGGGAAAATAATGCTACTTTTCTTCCCCAAGATCTAGTTTGATTCCCGTCGTGTATTCCACAATAAAAAACCGTAGAAACAAACTGAAAAATTGTGAAAGTTTATGTTCAAGAGTACACTGACGACCACACACCAACAGTACACACCGAGAAACCTTTTTCCTCAGCTAACATTGAATGAATGTGCATTACTGAAAGTAACTTTCTTTCTTGCAGTGATTCCATCTAAGAATCATAAGCTCTGATACTGAAACATCATGTCACTATCTGCAGAATGAAACCTTTCTCAATATTCTATTGAACACTGCGAATGTGTAAGTGACTGAGTTTTTTGGTCATTTTTTATCAGAAATGATCAAATTGGATTTCCAGACTTTAACAAAGTCAGAATTTTGAGGTGAGGCAGCTTTCACTGTCCTATAAAAAGAATCGGTATAAATTGGGGTTTTCACTACATAAGAGGTTGCTCAGGCCTCTCTTTTTCCTCCAGAGTAACACTACAGCACAAGAGGAACTGAATTGGGCTAATGAAGATGGTCAAAATTCCTGAGCTTGTGTCATAGTCAGTGTGATGATACAAACGTCTAACTTCCGAACCATATTGGAGTAAAGAAATATAAAATCAAGTGAACTGTATAAGAAATGATTTCTATGAAAAGAATCCACGACTGTTAACAGTCGATCATATACATGTGTTGTTTGAGGTGACGAACCCTTACCAAGGTTCAAAGGATTTGACTATCTTCATAAGCCCAATTCAGTGCCAAGACTTCGCAGCAGAACAACAAGCAGATCACTGACCCCACTAACTTGTGAGCCAACTAAATCACAAAGAGGTGTAAAGAGCAACAAAATGTGACCTCTAATCCAGACCATACTGTTCTTTTTCGTCTCAGAACCAGAGTTCGAGGGTTGGGTACTTGATCCAGAGGGTTTAGACAGCTCTCTACGAGTTATTGGCAAATCCAGTGCTCCGGCCGTGAGAGGGTGAAGCTGAAGACGGTCAAGCTCCTGAAGCACTAATTTCACCTCATCAATCCGCATAAGAGGCAAGTTCTTGCCACCAGTCTCCTTCTCATCAACTCGAAATTGACAAAGAATTGTTTTGCATCTTCCAACCAACACAGATACTGCAACTCGGCTAACCATAACCTGTGAGGACGATTCTGTCATTGAAGACTGCACGGCGCAAAGCTTGAACAGCTTTTGTAGGCATGCAAGAGAGAATCTCCCACAGTGAATGGGTAGAAGTGACACGCTCGGTAGAGGGAGAAGAGATATCCGAGCCCCACAACGATCTATAATTTCGACGAGACGAGCAACCACCTCATTTGGGGCATCTTGACAATTGTTGAGAACTTTCTCACAAAGCACATCGAGTACACTTGCTTCAAGAAGCTCATCAGCTTGTTGCGTATCAGTTCCATCACCTGTACTACTGAAGACGCGCCCACATGCACCAACCAAAAAGTTCTCGTATACATCGGCGAGCTGATTCCAAAACCTGTGCCTGCTATGCCCTTTGCCGTCCGGTGACTGTGCGAATTCCAATGAATCGGGAATGAGGGATTCCTGTACAACCTGATTGAAGCTACCCACCGCTGCTCTCCACAGCTCTTCTCCTGGAAAATCTCGACGTGTGGCCATGCATCTTCCTAGTGACGCGATCACATCTGGTTGCACGAGCACTTTCACAGAAGAAGGCGCTACAAGATAGATCTGAACCAACACAACCACAGCCCTTTCACAGAAAACTGATGGAATTGCTGAGAAATCTGGACTTGCGGACACAGCACTAAGGTCTTTGGCGGATGAGTTTCTCGATCTAGGGGAAATCTTGGGTACACCATGGCCGTTCATGGTTAGAGCTGTAGAGACCGATACGCCTGCAGAAATACTCTCATGTGAGCTCTTGGTAAGATCAGCTGATCGAAAGATGCAGTGCTCTCCAATCCATTGGTCACCCCCTGGCAGGTACGATAAGATCTGACGAAGAAACAGAGGCCATAGATGTTGTACTTTCTCATCGAGTGGCTTCAGCAGAGGAAGAACCTCTAGCACAGTGCGGTGCAGTGGCAGAAGAACTCCGGCAGCAGCTTGAGACGTTTCCCCTTTAGTTAGTGGGTATCGGGTGCATACATCCACCATGGTTAACAGCTGTAGGTATGTTTTCGACTCAAACATAGAGGAACCTTGAGAATAGAGCTCCCCTAAACTCTGCACGAGCTCCTGCCGTGCCTTCGTTGCCACTCTGTTCTCGTTCGTCCGAGTGCTAGACACTATAGTTTCATAGGTTGCGAAAGCCGTGTTAAAGTAGAAACTGGGAAGAATGCCCTTGGTGAGCTGAGACAGGAGAATGTTGTGCAATGAGCTAACTGCAGCAAGCCCAACTTCCTTACTGCCTTCCACGACACTTTCCTTGATGAATTTCAGAACAGTTTCCCAGCCTTTCTCGAAGTCCTGCATTGATTGAAAGAACTGAAAGTAAGGCTTTATTAACCTGCTCAATCCCCCAAGTACAAGCACTATCGTCTCATCCCACTGCTTTTGCGCAGTATTACGACTATGATGAACCAGCATGTGGACGGTTTTGCCTCCTTGGGTCCCAAGCTCCTCTCCAATTTCGTCCTTCGAAGAAATGGCTGCCAGATGCCTCACAGTCTCCACCAAAGGAAACATAAGGTTCCATAGACAGTGTCGCCACATAGACATAGAAAGCTTGTAGCCATGGCCGCTGACTGACTGGAATAGAGTTCTGATTGCTGAATTTCGTACTTCTGGTCTCTCATCTGTACCCAATCCCTGAATGACACCGTAAACAGCCAGAAGCAACCCATCGTAGTCCATGTCGGCCCTCTTGGTCAACCCCTTAGGGACATTGTCTTTGGCATGTTCAATCGCTTTGCTATCAAGCCTATTGAGACCAGGGGCAGCTTGTAGAGAGGGTCTTCTAGGACTCGCCTGCCTAGAACTTACATCTGCCTGACTATTGTGCCTTGTCTTCCCTTCCCCGCCGTCGAAGACTCCGTGGTCAACACCTCTAGCACAAAAGTCAGCAACAGTCCATAGGAGTCCAATTGCAGTCAAGCTTATATTCACATCAGTCTTCTGGGCACCGTAAGCTCCTGCAACTTCAACGCACATGTCAAGTGCATGAGCCGGTATGGACAGCATCCCATCGTTCATGATAACACGTACATTCTGGAATCCCAAAGGTACTATGTCCTTCTCAGAAGTATTTGCAACTGCCCGTAGGAGCTCTAAAATGCTGGGCCAACTATGATACAGTTTCTCTCCGTGCCTTTCCAACACATGCAGGAGAATCTTCAAGGAGCCACAGCGGAGTTCCAGAGAATGACCATAATTGTAAAGTGAACTCAAGGGTGCTACCACTGCACACTCAAAAGTGTCAAGACGGAAATTTGTGGCTTTGCTGTCCAGTAATCTGGATCTCCTAGGCGATGTGAAAGTCTTCTCTGCTGTACCTAATTCACTCACAGAAACAGTACTGACAAACTGCCCAAAGTCGTCGTCCTTCCCCTCCCCAGTAGCATCGACAAATGCAGCAGCGTCTTGGCGGATTCGTTCACATGGAAGAACGGTACATATCGATCGATCCAGCGCATCTAGAGCAACTGCCCGCACTTGCGAGCTTTCATGCAATGTTAGCTCAAAGAGATGTGCCGACACCTGGTCCCACAAAAGATCTGCTCGATGCAGATTGTGCGTGAGCACAGTCAGCATACGATCAACCCCAAATATTTTCGGTAAGGTGGCTCCACCAATTGCATTGGTTATCCCACTACTGCTGCTGCTGCCGGAAGCGGCTGAGCCCAGACCACTAACCACACCCACCAAGGAATTGTTGGATACTTGCCGCAGTGCACCGAGCAGGGCGCACACGGCTGAGGTGGACATGATGGCAGAACTTTCGAACAGCTGAGCATCGAGGCTTGAGAGAATCTGAAAATCAGTAGCTTGCCTTCCTTCAATGCCCCGTGCTCCATATGAGGACACCTCCTGAGTCGTTGCATGAGGGGAATGAATCAGCCTATCCAGGACAGCTAAAGTCTCCAAAACCATGGTCCAGGAACTATCCAAGACACAATTCAGTCGATGAGAGATATTAAAAAGTGTGCGGAGAGCCTGCACATTCTTCACCGTCAGCACAACACCTTCCCTCTGATCTGAGCCCGGGTCAAAGCGCCTTCCAGCAGCAAGTAGCAACGACGAGGCGCTTAAACCCTCATCTTGTGGAGCAAGAGCAAATTTACACAAAGAAGACAGAAAAGCATCTCGAGGATGAACCGATCGAAGCACACCGCACGACTGGGTGAAAGCCTGATATCCTTTCAGGATTTCTAAAACAATGGCTTCACCTTGTGACCTTGACAGCATAAGGGAAAGGGACTCCAAGAGTGTACGCCACACTGCTTGGACCAATGATGAACAAGTTGAAGCCAGCTCTCCACCTTTCCCGGTCCCTCCGACTAGCTTCATATCAGAAGAAGCCCGCTCCAGCCTTGGAGAATCCAGCTCCCCTTCATCTAGAGCCTCGTCAGTCATGGCTGCTACCGTGAACACAACTCCCAGAAGGCCTTCAACGGCCAGAGTGATGGCATGTGCCTCGCTTGCTACAATCACCGCTGCGCCACTGGCTTCATGGTCCATGGTCCATTCTACACCTTTGGCTTTGCTGTTGAACATCGCCGCGACAGCATTGAGTGTGTCTTCGTTCACTTCTTGGAGCTGTATGCTTCTGACGACGTTTGCCAGTGCCTGCACAAGGTCTGTCACCAAACTCGTGTTCTCTGGCTTCATGTCAAACGTTTGAAACAAAAGGTGCAGCATTCTAGCCTCGACGCAGAAGCCCCTCAGCACCTCGAGTACCATAATGCGATGCCAGAGAGGCAGCTCTAAGTCTGCACTCTTGATGAGCATGCTCAAAAAAACCTCACATTCTGTAGTGACGATTGTGCTGTAAAGTCTGGTCACATTGGCCACGGTCCTCAAGACAAGCCTCCGATATGCTGGTTCACTACCTTCACCATCGTGGTCCCCAGAGGTGCGCATTGAGGTCATCAGCAGTGAACAAACCTGTCCTCGCAGAACTTGCTGATAAGGTCCCAGCTTTCTGAAAACAGGAACGTAATGTGACAGGACGTACTCCAACATGTCCAGGGCGAAGGTTCTCTGAAGAATGGATACATGGAGCCAACTGGCTGTCCCACCTCCTGCGAGGGATGTCAGGTCCTCAAACAACCGAAGGCCCAAACGCCCTGCCTGGGTAAGAGTGGACTTAGATGTCACGGTGCAGGACTCGTCCTTCAGGGCAGCTTCCACGGCTTTGGATGCAGCTATGTTACGACTCACATCGCCTGACACGGAGTTGGAACGAGCATTCCTACTTCTGCTATCAGGTTTGAGCACCGGGAGCTTTTCAGCAGTGATCACTCGGTCAAAAATCAGTGCGACTGCCTGCCTGAGAGTCGCCGCTGCCGTGCTGTGAACACTGTCGGCATTTCGATTATTGCTCAGTAGCCTCAGGCAGATCCCTAGCAGCACTGCCATGCTCTCCTCATCCTGGGGATGCAGTTGGGACTGAAGAATGGTGAGGATGGTTTGCAGAATTTTTAATTGCACTGCCTCATCAGACATCTCCGAGTGCTCCTTCAATGTACTGAGAATTGGCGCAAGCGCTGTGGGTGCGACGGCATCGTGCGCGATCAATTTTTGCATGCATGCCAAACCTAGAGCACTGAGTTTCACATTTTTCGGTTCACATGCGAGTAAGAACGTTCGCACGATGTCGTCGCTTTTAGCAAGTTGGGCTGGATCTGACTGTGACCTTAACTTGAGAATTGCATGCTCGGCGGCATCCTTGACCAGAGGATACTTCCGCCGAGCCTCCGCTGACAGTGCCCGCAAATCGGCCTCGAGCACTGCCACAAATGCCATGGCAGCCTGCCTTCTCCTGTCCACCACCGCCTCTTCCCAAACCAAGAAGTCCCACCGACAGACTTTGACCAAACAATTCCTCGATGAATCTCAGACATGTCAAACCCCGATCTCCTTCATACTTGCAAGACGGCTCGATCTTCCTCCTTTGCTTTATGTCCATTCACAAATACCCACGTCTTCGACTCCGAACATAGTTCGGTTTTCCAACACCCACCCCTCGCTCACTGCCCCAACTCCCCTCTCGACATTTTCTGATCTCCCCTCGAAGCCTCTTCCTTCCTGCACAAGCCCACCTCCGTTCAATTCATCTTCGCGAAAGCCGAAATCTCGATAGATTTTCCAATGCAGAGCACTGTTCGCTCATCGAAACAGACAAAGAGATGAAAAACTTGCTGGTCTCCACGAATGCTCACATTGCAGATCACAAATTGGGCGCAGATCACCAAAACACATCAATCCCACCTCCTTCCATCTCCGACAGGACTTGAGCACCCGTGATCGAAAACAAGAAATTGAGCTGACTCCGACACAACGATGGCAAAGAAGAGGGGCAGACTAACTCCCCACACCACCTGTTCGCACGCCCGAAAATTGTTTTCCTTCTCTCCACAAGGTCCGAGACTCAGAGGCCCAAATTTGCCAAAAGCAAAAGGCATCCGACTTACCATTTCCGGGCAGACACAGAGATGACGATGCTCCTGGTCGGCAACTCGCGCGTCCCAGCTGAGCAGCAGCTCGTCCGACTCATGCCTTTTTCTTCTTGCGAGGGAGAGAAGCAAAATCTTATCGCTCAGCCAGCCTTCATCAGCATCCATCATAGATGGGCACCAGTGGAGGCACCGTGGACGATGACCTCAGGCATCTCCATGGCGGACCAAGATTAATACGTAGATAGATATATATTTATATGTCGAGGGAGAGAGAGCGAGAGAGAGAGAGAGAGAGAGAGAAAGAGATGGATCCGAGGATGGGAGGACGGACGGGCAAGAACCGCTCAGACTGTCGCTCTCCCTCTCTGTCTTTCAGATCGATCCTGCTCTTGTCGGGGCGAATTGATCGAACTGTTCTTGATTTGACCTCACGCACGCGTGCGCGCGTGCCTGATCTATCCGCTCCAGGGTTTTCCTCCGCAAATCATCCAGCTTTATGACATTTTTCGGCATGCGCCCAATCCTCTGACTTTGCTCGCTAAATCTCTCACTTCTCTGGACGAAACGAGTGGGAACTGTGACAGAATCTTCCCTGAGCCCCAGAGAGTGAAGGACAGGAAGGTATTGCTCGCCCAGTCACCGGGTCACCCGCTGGCTCCTCCTTCTGCAGCCGGTTCTCCCGTCCGTCTCTCTCTCGTCCCACGACTTTTTGTTTCCTTCGCCTCTTCCACGCCAACGAGTTCGCGACTCTGCGCCGATTGCGAAGATTCGCGTGCGCCTTGGTTATTTTCCTTTCTCTCATACCTGCACGTTTCCAATTATTGACATTATTGGCTTCATCACGGTCGCTTATCAAAGCTCTGCAGTTAACTTCGCACTTAGTAAACTCAGTAAGCTCTTATGGTATCAGGGGATTCTCGGCGGTTTTTAGAAACTTCAATTTATAAGTTGCACGGGAAATACAGCTTTTGTATATCATTTAGCGCAAGGGTATTCCAGACGGGGAGGGGTGGACTCAATAGATTAACGATAGTACTATGAAGGCCATCCTTCTTGATCTGTCAAATGGAGCTAGATTCCAATAACATCACCATGGAAAATATTACATGTTGTATAAACCACATAGTAAATATCTAGATTAAAAAGTTACGTAAAACATGAGCATCTAAAGAATCATCATATGATGTGTTGGCTTTGTTGGTTATGAATTGCATTATCATGTATTGCAGTGCTCGGAGGCCTTTTTTTTATTTAGTACTATGTGGCACCAGGAAAGAGATAATAGATCACTAAAATTCTGAACTCATACTTCATAGTTTAATATGAAAATTGATCATTAATACAATCAAGATTCAACTTTACTTATTGCATTATATATTAAGTGCATGTGCAATTTTAATGATTTGAAAATATTAGAAATACTATTTTGATCTTCAATAGATTAGCGGATTCAAATTGTTACTAGGTATGCAAAACAAAGTACTTGTATATTTTGAAAATTGATTAAAAAATATAATTTTAATACTTCATATACTTGAGATTTGAAGTTTAAATTTGGTATATGCTAGATCTTGTATCATGCAAGTTTTTGACACAGCTCCAAGATGATAAAAAGAAACAACAACATTATTTTGAACATCTAGTGATTTGAAGTTTTTGTTTGATCATAATTATATGTTTTTCTCACAAAATAATGAGATGTAAAAGTTAACTCATGTTTTGGTTAACTTTAGTTTGTTAAATCATATAGAGTTAGTTTACATTGTACAATTAAAACAAAACCTCTCTACAACATAAATAGGATTGTTTTTGATAAAATTTGCTGCGTTCAATGGACGAGTGGAACCATATACTTTTAATGTTAATATTTTTTTTGGATTTCTTTGTGAAAATTAAAATAAACTGATGGATATCACAACATGTTAGACTTTGCCATTGAATATCATATACTTCTAATTTCAATTTTTGGTTTGATTCTTTTTTAAATTATCAATATAATGATATATTACAAGTTACTATTATAGTTACTATTTACATATTATTCGATATATTACAACAAGTAAGATTCTGCAATTGAGAACCGAAAACGACACAAAGAATGGTTACAAGAACAGCAGTTGAAGTTTGATGTCAAACTACACTTAGCTACGCGTGATAGAGCTTGAGCAACGGTGTGATGTGTTGAATAATTGACTAACACGAGTATATTTTTGCCACTGTGTGAAATTTTTTTTGACCTCGTGATCACGACATGAGCTTATCATAAGCTTCATCTATGGATCTTGGTACTTCATGTCGTGGGAGTGTCTTCGCAGATTGGTACGTTTTCAAATCATGGGAGTCTTTATGTCTACAAGCTGATATTGCATATGGAGGTGTAGATCATTTTCTACACATTGGTAATAGATAGCATGTACATTTGCTACTTGATGACAAATCAATCATTGTCGATAGAAATAGAAGTATGCATATTATTCAATCATGTAGGTCAGTCACAGTCCTACCTCTCTTATGTTTTGTTCTCGGAAAACATGGAAAGCATGGAGTGTCTACTTACATAAGTGCTACATGTCGTTGAAGGGTCCATGCTCATAAATTGATCTCATATCTAAAGACTAAAATTACCGCATTCTCCAGGGTGGTTAGTGTTTATGCTCAAAATATTTGAAGTATAATGGAATGGTAGCATTGAAAGCTTTTACATCTAATATAATGAAAGAAGGTTCATTATACTGCAATGGATTTCAATCTGATCTTTAGTTTTGAGAAAGATTGCAAGAGAATAAAATCATCTTAATAAAATGGATATAATTTTATTAATCAGAATATTACTTTTATTCAGTATATCTTCATCATTAAACATCAATATAAATATCAAAGACTGATGTCTATCAGTGTCAGTGAATTTAATTGTTAGTTATGTGTATATCATTTACAGAAAATGCAGTGTAAACTTGACAAATTTCTTTATCAGAATACTACTGTATGCTCATATAAAGTATTCCTTGATCGACTCCCAATTTTTCTACCTTTGCTGTCGCCGTCGTCGTCGTGAGATGACCCATCTCAATTAGATCTCATATGGACCGGGAAGGACGAACGGAGATATAGATGAAGTTGGCCGGCGGCCCGGTGAAAATGACTCCCAAACGTGGGAACAAACTCGGAACTCTGACCGGTGTGAGACTGCGACCGGGGAGCCGGCCGCGGGCGGAGTGTAGTTGTGGTTGTGCTGTAGTTGAGAGAGCGAGCATCGACGTGGACAGACGAACGGGACGACCTTGGGCGGGCATGCCACCTTGCACTGATCCTCATGCCGCTCCCGCGCCACGCTCAACGCTCATCTCTCCCGGCCGCGGAACAAAGACAAGGAGCAGCGAAGCGGAAGACGAAGCAGACGACGACGAAGAAGAAGAGAAGACTTGAACAATTCCGGTCGAGGATCGAGTGAAGCACAAGCGAGATTTCACGCCACGGGGTAGAATTGGGATCGTGTGTTGTGACGGAAGGAGACGTAGGGCCGAGGGAGGGATTGCCGAGAGTGTACCCTAATCGGCATACTGTGCAGGACGAGACAGCGAGGCTCTTATCAGAGAAAACAGGTCTTTGCCTCGCACTGTCTTCCCGAATCGGATCAGTACGTATAGGTGGGTTCTTTTCAATTGAGCTGTGTGTGAATGGTGTGAAATCCGGTGTTCAGTTTTTGGGGTCGACCTTGTATGGCGGTGACACTTTGCGGTTAATTTGGGTCCAGATTATACGCTGTATTAGCTGGTTCGCAGGATGGGATTAGCTTTCCAGGCGGGGAGATTGTTGTAGGACGGACGTTTTGTCTGCTTTTGTGGTGTTTCTTATTGGATTGGAGAGAGCGTGGAGTTCTTGGAGCGTTTGCTTTAGAAGGACGAGGACGTGGAATGAGGCAGCATCTCGTTGAGATCGAATTAGTGAAGCTGTTTCGGGAAGAACTTGTTTTGCTTTTTCGGTGAGAGAAAGGTTAGAGGAGATGTCTTATGTATCTTTTGTTGTCTGCGAATTGGTTTCTTACTTTTGGGGGTAATGATATAATTCGGTTTCAATGGCGCAGATATCCGACATTCGCAGTGGACCAAGCGACGAACTTTATTGTAGAATGAAGGAATCCACCATTGTAGCCTAGAGCAGAAGAAACGAAACTCTCAGATAACCTACAGAAGCGAGCGCTCGATGTCGTGTTACGTTGAAGATCCCGTTTTACTCCAAGTTTGACATTAGTTTGCCATTCTTCTTCCCCTTCAGCTCGTTCCTGAAACTGCAGCTCTCCGTGGCAAATCTGCTAGGAGTTGACGGGGATCGCGAAGCACTGCAACAAGAAACTGCAAGGAACTAGTAAGTTATGGCTTCATCTCTCATATGGTACTATGTGCATAGCACAGAGTACCATATTAAGTGTTGAAAAGAACTAAAAGCGTAGTTTTCGAAATTGTCTATCAAATTACTCAATAGCGGTGCAAATACAGCGGAAATTATACACGTTATTCGATTCAGATACGGCAGTTCATTTAGGCGTAACGCATGGATCTCAAAGAATTCGAACCTTAGAGCCGCGCATGTGAGAGACTAAACTGAGGAGAGATGACTTTCAAACTCTTAGACTTTCAGTTTCATTTTGATTTTAATCCCGTCCCGACTCTGAATGGTGATACATTTGTCCTCAACGAGGACACCGCTTCAATACGACCTCGGAAAGGATGACGTGGGAGTCGAAAAACGCCTCGGTAAAACGCCAGAGTTATTCCAGATCTTGATACTATTTATTGTACGAGAAACATTTACTTCATAAAGTCCCAACTATAGGATTGTGGGCGTAAATTTTTTCAACATCATCCCTGTTTGTGTCGCCAGTAGCCACATTGTTACTGACATCTCCAGCCAGAGAACGACGTCCATGATGCTTGCCTTATTCTTCTTGTTCTCGATGAATCTTCAATTCACAAACGGTTGGTTCCTCTCTGTGGAACTTAGTATTCAATAGCAGTCGTTCATACATCACCCTTCCATTTTCCAAAAGTGAGCTTAGTGTAGCTCATAACTCGTGAGCTCGGTGATAATAATGACCTTCTTATGTGTTCAGTTTGGATGTTACATTTGAAGAAAAGTAATTGTGCACGACGAGCACAAGGGAAATCATCTCATTTCGAGTTTTGGATCGGTGTAGTGCCAAAATACTCCGAATCTTTCCACCTCGTATGCAGTTAGTCAGGTCGTATATGGGGATTCAACATGTGCTCGTGACGAATATGTTGAAGACTTAATGATAGGAAATTTAAGCGTTGAATTCCTCTTTTGGGTGTAGGTGCTGGAAATAAGACTCACCACCGATCTTGGATCCGAATAATGAGGGATGAATCGGAGGATTGACACCTTAATGAAGGAGAGGAGAACCAAGGAAGTAGGAAATTACGTCAGTACCTTTAAATACCTTGTTCAAGGATACCTGGGTCCTGCGCAAGGAGGTAGTACGCGCGCTTCCTAAGCACGGCAGTCTGTTTGACAGCCGTTTCAACAGTGTGAGGAAGTTGTGTGCCATATATTCGTCTTTAGAGCCCGTTTAGAGTGGACGCACTTGAGATTGAACCATTGATCGGTTAATTTGAATAAGGATGGTGCGAGAGTTGAAGTTGGAGGGGTGCGTCGAGTTCGTGGAGCCACAGGTGAGTGGAGTTTGCAGGCTTTTACTTTCAAAGATTTCTGTAATTTAAGTTGCTGTTTGCCCATCCCACGTGAAAAAGGCTTTGCAAAATTCATACAGTGAGCTCTTTCTGTTTTGTCTGGTTGTTTTTTGAGAACACTTTCAATTGCACCCGATTGGTACTGCACGAAGTGCCCATCTTTCCGCTCATTTGAAGCCTAGGAAAGGGTTTAACTGTCAGCTTCAGAGGTTTTACTTGCGCGGATGTTATACATGTCCAGTTGAACTGCTGAACAAATGGGATCGTTGCCTTCACTTCTTGCAGGCTGCCTTTTCATTCTTATTTGGAGATGATCGTTTCGTAAAACGCTATCACAAAGAAATGAATGAAGATCCATACGCGGAGGTGAGCAGTTGGACAGACGATGGTCGTCGAACTGTAAAATTTGCAGCACCAATAAACGCACCAAATGTCATCAAAAGAGTCATCGGTAAGCTTCTGTCTATCGCAGTACTCAGGATGTATTGCGATTGAATGGCTGCTATACATTCTGAGCATTGTAGTAATTTCCTGCTACAAGGTCACCTCTGTAGCATGAAGAAGTGATCTTCAAACGGTGCTCTTTTAGTAACTGAGGTGAAGGAGGAAGGAAGCTTTTGAACTGTGCAGCGTCGGGGACCTAACATTTGCGTTATTTTTGGTATGGACTATTCAGGGGTGGAAACTCTGAAGGTAACAGAAGAGCAACAATGTTTCACTGTTGGAAATCGGTTTACTATAAGATCAGACCCAAAAATTGAACATCCTACTGGATTCAATACCAAGGCGGAGATGGTATTGGCATTGTCAGAGAATGGAAAGGGAAGCACTGTGTACATTACTGCTACCCTGGAGTGCAAGGCGGCTGTCTGGGGCGTACAAGGTATCATTCTTCTCGACTTTTTGTGTAGTATTCTTAGGGTTGATTAGAGTCTGAAATTTTCAGTTTTTCTAGGAATCATTAGGGATGTTGTTAGCCTCAGCTCCTCTAAGAATATTGGGGAGTCCAGAATAGATAGGCTTTTGGGCCGATTGCAAATAGCTGGGTGTCCTTAGAAATACAGGATGGAGCGCCTAGCTAGTGAGTGACTCGTGCTATTACTCTGAAGTAACAAACATGTATACACGTAACGTGCGTACACTTAGAGAAGAAGTCTTAGATTAGTGACCGTATGCCCAGCTTTCTGCGATATTGTTTTGAAAGTGGTTCTGAGTTGAGGACAGGGAGATTTAACGAGGTTTTGTATCGTGCAAATCTTATAAATCCCCTCGTGCTTCCATCCGATAATTTGTCCTCTTTTTGCTTTTGAAGTTGTGTCTTGCCTTTGGGTTTGAGCTGATTTTTGTTCTTAACTTGCTCACTGTTTATGTACACTAGTTACTGCTAAACTGATTATCTTCATTCCTGTTTCTCGTGTGGTCGGTACCAACGTCGACCTTCGGGCCAAAATGCTGAGGGGTTTGTTTTTTCTCCTTTCGTTACGCTGCTGTCAGAAGAGGAATATTTCAGCTAATTGGTTTGGTATAACTATTTTTGCAGGCACAATTGAAAATTTCATGGAAGCGAAGGCAAAGAAATCTTTTCTGGGCTGGTTGAAAATGGCTCGGCTTTTTTGCCAAGAACAGCTTGCACTAGCCACAGGTTTACCATACACTATAACCTATGCCGAAGAAGAAGTATCAATCGGAGATTCTTCTGACGATGAATTCTATGATTTTAGCGAGGAGGATGAGAAAGCTCTTATCCTTAGTGGTGAAAGTCGGACATTAGGAGTGATCTATAGTAGGGAAGGGGAATCTGGTCTGCAGAATTGGATAATGGGGCAAGTCATGGGTCAGCTGAATGGCCTTCACGTCACATGTGATGCCTCTAGAACCCACATAGAACAATTGAATAGGAAACTACAGAAGATGGAGGAAGACATTGGAATGGTTCAGCAACAATTACAGCGCGGGATGATCATACCTCAAAGCCATGTATGGGGGCTTGTTGGCCTGGGTATGGCCACAGGTGTGTTGCTTGGAGCCGGACATATGTATTTGAAGGCCCACATCCAGAGTCCATGAAGTTAATGATGGACTAAATGGCAAGACTTTCATATGAACTTGAAAGTAGTCGGTCGTGACATCATCACCAAAATAGCTGCAGTCAAGTTTATACTTACGTTGGGAAATTATCCTTCAGTAAACTGTAGGCGGGGATGCGCGTCCCTTACTCTGGAACAATACCACCTGAAAGTAACATAAAATTTCTTCGTTACAATCAGTTAGGATCGCGGACTTTCGTGCCGAGGGTCGAGATTCAAGTTCAAGGGAGAGTTATCTTTCCCTAACGTCCATGTAAATGTTAGTACAAGCGGAAATAGGACATACTTTTTTGAAGAACACCCTGTGTGGAACTTTTGGACAGCAGCCTGTCCAGTAGCATCTTGAGGCATCTGTCACTGTATTTTTTTGTATAATTGATCTATGTGCAACACGGAATATGAGAGCGTCGTGAAGAGTTTCTGGGTTCCATGGTCGACAATGATCAGGCGGAGAAGGTCGATGGTCAGCCGGTTCCGAGGCGTCATCTTGTTCTAACACACCATCGCTACATCAAAATCGTGGGGGCAGCAGGGTGAGAAAAGGCGGTAACGAGTTGATTTTGCGCGGGGAACCAAAGAGCTTCAGTACAATAGTTTATCTCACGGGCGTGGTTCAAGGGAATCAAGGAGCGTCAGCACAATAGGCTTCCCCACATTAACAAATGGTAAATGGATCAAGCCCGTGGGACCCAAAGGGTCAAAAGGCTTCCCCACATTAACAAATGGTAATGGTAAATGGTAAATAGATCAAGCCCGTGGGACCCAAGAGTCAAAAGGCTAAAAAACACAATACAAACAATCCAACTCCAAACTAGGAGAGAACCAAAAGAACCCCCTAGCTAGTGCCCAAAACACAACAACTCCAAACTAGGAGAGAACCAAAAGAACCCCCTAGCTAGTGCCCAAAACACAACGTTGCGAGTTCAAGGGTTTTTGGGATGCCATCGAAATCGATGGCAATATAATCTATCCGGATGATATGGCCATGATGCTTTTAGCATTCATTCCGAAGACTCCACCGGAAATGATGGGCATATTTACTCTCGAAAGAGACGGCCGGGACCAGACAGGGATGGGTTAAGAGTAGAAAGCCTGGCTATGATCAAGCTAGGCGAGAGACGAACGCAAGACACAAGAAGTCAAAGTAGGAGAGCAAGAGTGGAAAGTACAGGGCTAGTACTTTACTGATTCATCAACTGCTGTTCATCTTTTGACAGACAAGATTGGAAGCTATGCTATACTGATCTAACATAGATGAATACCGTTCATGCTATCGAGAAGTGGATGTGGGGTTATTTTCCTATATGCCTTTGGGATTTTCCAAACGGCATCTCATGACGCCAATATAATTGGTGGATTAAGTCTTGGTCTTGAATTTCGATTGGAATTGGAGGTTACTATTGGTGTATGGAGATTTGTGTCTTGTGGGAAAACTCAAGCAAGGAGATATGGAATACATCTTAGATCTTACACTAAGTAGTAAGCTCCAATCAATAAACCATAGGAACAACAAGATTAATGAAAAGTTCTAGATGTTTGTAATTTCACTTCGCACATATACGGATGATGTCAACATTTTCTCTAAGGAGCCCAACTTTATCTGTAAATTTTGATATCCGGATGTTCCTTGTGAATGGTCTAATAAGTTCTTCTGCTATTCTTGAATTAGCTTGAGTTCAAATACAAACTCTTGTTAAAAGCATTCAACAAGTATAGCCATCTCTTCAACCGAGAGAGTCAACAAGTTTCTTGGGATTTTGAATTGCGGATGATACCTATATATGGGAAAGAATGGGCCAACATTGGTGAAGATGTGCATTGTGTTGTTGTAAGCAAATTTTGTTTGAGATAGTAATTCTGTGTGGTACCCCACTTTTGGTAATTTTGAGGAAATTAAAACATTTTTGAAAAACTATACCAAGGCAGCAATGTAAATAGCCTTCGGTGCATCAAAATAGAGTGAATTCGGAAGATCGCAGAGATTCTCGAGGGACATCGTAGAATCTATGAGTTGGGTGCAGCGTCAAGGAAGGGCACCACCCTCCCTGCGAGCTCTGAAGGTATGATCCCTACGGCGCAAGGCGCAAAATCCGCCTTCGGCGCTGCGCCCTCGGCGTTAGGGAAATCCTTCATATTTAGGTCAACCCCCAAACGCCTTGATTTAGTTAGGGTCTCGTTGGAAAGAGCTTAACGCGCTGATTCTAACGAGCCCAAGATTGCCACGAACGGAGGAGGGTTCCGGGAGTTATGAAGGTTGTAAGATACTCAGCTTTCCGCCTGCGCACAGGCGAAGAAGTTTTGTCCTATGCGCGGACGAAGGAAGTTCGCCTGCGCACAGGCGAAATAGGGTTTTGATGTAGGCGCAAAGTTCGCCTACGCACAGGCGCTTTGGGGTCGGCAGGAAATCCGCCTTCGGCCCTAGAAATGCGCCTTCGGAGGTAGAAATTGTACGGCGCCTTCTGCGCCAGCGCAACGGCGCGGACGAGCAAGGAGCCGCCAGAATAGTAAAATCCGTACGGACCGTACGGACTGTACGGACGGGACGGATGAATGCTCTCGTGGTCGGACGGAGTTGCGGCGGTGAGAGCGCCGACATAGAGACCAGGAACGGACAGTCTGGGCGGAGGCTGTTGACCGCGGTCAACGCCTTCCGCGCCAGCGCATCGACGCGGACGGAATTCACCTGCGCACAGGCAAGCGCCTGTGCACAGGCGGGTGAAGTTCCGCGCCGGCGGAGAATCCGCCGAGGAGTCCGCCTGCGCACAGGCGGGAGACGAACTTTTGTCCGACGTGCGGATAAGCGCCGAGGCAGAGGAGGATTGGCTGAGGAGCGGTACGAACGAGTGTACCGTGCAAGGCGGAAAATCCGCCTTCGGCGCTGCGCACCCATGTCCGCAGCGTAGTACGCTCGCGGAGTTCAAATTCGCCAATTCGAGCGTGAGAGTTAAATCGGCGTCGGCGGAGCGTGAAGCCGCGCGTGAGAGCGGAGACCGTTTTAGCGTAGAGCCGGCGCGGCCATCAATTGAGTCGTCCTTCACGAGCAAGAGCCGACCATGACCTTCGACCGAGAGGCAGAGAGCGCCCCATTCTTGAATTCGCGATTCCATTTTCTAGTGCGAGCTGCGCGCGTCCATCTGCTAGCTGCTAAGCATTCCCGACATCGCCGCGCAGAGGATTACTTGGTGATTGAGAGAGAAGTGAGTGCGCGGGATTTGGAATTGAGTGAGATTAGAGTTTGCCGAGGAAGCAAGGAGCTCGAGCGGAGCAGAAGGAGAATTAGCGAACAAGCGAATTCCAAGAACGCAATGACGAGACTTGGCCGATTGCGGATGCTGCCGCTCCGACTACCACAGAACGGGCTGCGCGCTTACGAGGAGCGGCTGATAGCAAGAAAGCTCGATTTCTTGCTATGGGGATGGAACTACATCTGTGTGGATATGGTGCGCGAGTGGCTAGAGCCACAGGGACCACATACGCGCGGATTGCGGCCGCATGTCGATCGGTGGACGGTCCAAGATTGGGCGCAGGCATTGGGGAGGTGTGCCGGCATCCCAGGGCACCTCCTCTTTGATAGTGAGAGCGTCAAGGTGTCTAAGCAGGACGAGGCGCAATTTGTGGAGCTGTTCAAGCGGGAGAAGTCTACCAAGAATGGGTACAAGACCCGCGATTACAAGGATCGCTTCCGCCGAACTGTGGCTACGGCGCTGCTGCAATTACTGCAGCCACACCGCGCCTGCTACATCACATTGTGGCAGGTCTCTTTTGTGGAGTGCATCATCAAGGGAGCTCCAATTCATTGGGCGAGCATCCTGCACAGAGTGATGCGCCAGCACGCTTTTGAGGAGAAGGGGGGAACTCTAAATCATCTTTCTACTTTCCTCATCAATTTTTATCGACAGCAAAATTGTTTGACCGCGGCGGAGCTTGCTCGCTTTCCGCCGTTGTCCGTCGACCATCCCGGGAGGTATGTGCGGGAGAACGAGGTCGACACTGATGCAGAGGAGTCGCCGACTTCTACTCCGTCAAGGCGGAGGGACGAAGGAAGAAACACTCCCGCAGCAAGAGTGCCGCGGAAGCGGCGATGGAGAGAGGAGTCCGAAGAGGAGCAGCATCAAGAACCCACTGCTCCCATTCGGCAGCGGCCGTTGCACGAAGTGTGCAGCCGGCCGAAGCAGAAGGCGCGCAGGCTGGTGTTACCAGCTAGCAGCGCGGACACGGCGACGATTGCCACGGAGAAAGGAAGTGCGTCGTCGGAGAAGAACGAGGGAGCGCGGACGTCTGTAGGAGCAACGGACCACGCTGCACCTTCGACGGACGAGAGGCCGCCTACGGGCCAAGGGCCTCCGGAGTTACCACGTGCGTTGCGAACGGGTGTTCCGCCTGCGCACAGGCGAGCCTCGACGGAAAGGCGACCACAAGTGGACGTGGACCTACGCCTACGCGTAGGAAGAAGCAGTCCGCCTGTGCACAGGTCGCCTCAACACATGCCGCCTGCGCACAGGCAGGATTCACCCCCGTTCCAACGTAGGAAGGGGAAGGAGCCGGCGGAAGATCCGCCTACGGGTCACGGGTCTTCGGGACCAAACACTCCGGCGCCCAACGCGCCGCGATTTGCGCCTTCGGCGCCAGGGCCTTCGGGCCAACGAGATGCGAACAGGGAGCGTGCGGAGGCCGCACCATCGGCGGATAGTCCGCCGGTAGATGTGCCTTCGGCGGTAGGGCCTACGGGCCAAGGGACATCGGGCGAGCGGCCTCCGGCTATGTCGCCTTCGGCGATAGACGCCTTCGACGCTGCACCTGCGGCGGACAAGGCGCCGGCATTTGCGCCTGCGCACAGGCCAGGCACAGCCCTCGCGCAGGACCGATCGAGGGAGCAGGACCTGACGGAGGAGCGGATTGACTGTTCGCGGGACGAAATTTCGGTGCGCGATGCGCAATCAAACCCCGCGCAGACACACTCCGCTCGATCGCCTTCGGCGGCGGACGTCGGCGGCAGAGAGGATACGGTCGAAGACCGACAAGCGGGCGACGGGGATGTAGCACGGCCACATTCGCCCACCGCCTTGGACATTTTGGCGAAGAGCAGCGAGGCTGCAGCGGTGCCTTCGCAGGCAGCACACGTCGACGACGTGCAACCCCACTCAGGACAGTCGCCAACGCAATCAATGGCGACTGAAATCCTCCACTCGGATGATGACGACGGAGGCTCCACCGAAGCAATGTCGGGAGCAAGGGATACCGAGGAGCAAGAGGAGGAAATTGTTGGAGCGCCGGCGACGGCGCTCTCTGAGCAGGTGATTTCGTTGCTGAAGTACTTGGATCGCAAATTCGATAAATACGCCGATCCACTTCAGCCGGGATCTTACATCGAATTAGTGCGCAGGCGGACTCGCACTAAAGTCCACACTAGCAAGCTACTAGCTAGGGTGGATCAGGAGTTGAAGGAATTGAAGGAGAGGCATGCCTGTTTATGGGGGCAGTACAACCTTGAGAGGAAATCGCACGCCCTCGACAGGATGCGGAAGGATAGAGTGGAAGAGCTCACCAGGGATGTGTTGCAGACCACGTAGGATTTGATGTCTGAGAAAACTCAGAATCAGATTCTTTCAGAGGAGCTCGTGCGACAGACGCGTTTGTTGGCGGAGTGTCAGCTCGCACGG